AATGAGTCATGGTTTGGAAGTGCAGAACCCTGGTGGGAACCAGAGGGGCTTGTGGTCACAAGCTTTTAAAAAACTGCAGGTACTTGCAATACCATTTTTAGAACTGCTGGTGGCCCTTTTTCTGTCAATACAGAATAGTTTCAGGAGTTGTGAAGTCAGAAGGGTCTCTCAGCAAGAGTTTGTTGTGCTAGTTTTTAAGCTCATCTTCCTATGCCTTTTGCAGCTGCCGGTGTGTGAAGCACACAGGTGCACGAGAGTGCCTGTGACATTCGAGTGCTTCCACAGGGAGAAAGCCCAGCCAGCATCCTGCCAGCTGTGACCTGGAACAGCAGTGGCCCAGTGGCCTTCTGTGTGAGCTCGCCAGTGCCTGCGAATGGCCTGCTTCTGCGGCTCAGCTTCTCGATGCAGCCTCTGCCGGGGGTGGACGGGGATCACTGTTGTTAGTTGGGGACTGGAGGTGGATGCTGGGATTGGAGAGTCTGCATGACTGTGTCCGGGGGACAGGCCCGACTTCGCCTGTTTTATCTTCGTGTTGGTAACCATAGCCTGTTAGATGCAGGGACCCTGACCGAGTGAGTCAGGTTGTTGTGTACGCTAGATCGTGTCGTGGTCCAGCAAACCTGTGGTGTAAGTACTGTTCTCCCAGTTTTGCACATGAAGATGACTGAGCCATGCTGAGGTTAAATATTAGGTTGAGTCTTTAAAAATTACTGCTACTTGATAATTTTTCATGAACGGAAACAGCAGTTTCACATGGTTCAATCTAATAATTGACTCAGTACTAAATGGGCATATTTATAGATCTCTCTTCTGATCCTTTTTATATTAATTTTGTTGTTTGACTCTTAGAAGACTGACTTATTGTTACCTTTTTTAAGATTCTTTGTTTGGGAGGGTACTTGGTCATCACCATGTCTTACTTGACAGTTGTTACTTTCATCAAATGAGGAGGAGTAGGGTCAGAGAGGTTAAGTGATTTCTCTGAAGTTGCACAGTTTACATGCCAGGGAAATCCTCATACTCCAAACCTGTTTTCCCGCTATGCTGCATCACTGGACAAATGGTGAGGGGACTTTGAGGTCATGAGATAACAAGGAGTGGTTACAGGGGAACTGTAGATGTTTAACTTGGTGGAGAAAATATTTGGAAGGTGAAACAACATTGACTTTTGAGTCACTCATACTTGGATTAAAACCTGTCTCTATTTGCAGCAAGTTTCTTAAACTCTTTCAGTTTGTTGGTTTGTTTGTTTTCTGTCAGATGAGGGCTATTCATGAATCTTGGGATTATTGAGAGAAATAAGATAACATTTGTGAAGTACCCGTTAATGCTTGGCATGTAAGAGCTTCTCCACAAATTAGTTCCCTTTCCTACCACGTTTCTCCTTCAGAAGAGAGAAAATGCATCCTTTTTTGTTTGTTGTGGCAAAGTCATATTAAAAACCATTGTGTAAATGTTAAAATGCGGCAGATTTCATCATAGGTTTTTAAAGATTTTGGTTAAAATAATATTGCCACCATTACTCGTTGCATCCAAACAAGTCACAGGTCCCCTTGGTTATTAAGAGGATTCTTAGGGGCACCTGGGTGGCTCAGTGGGTAAAAGCCTCTGCCTTCAGCTCAGGTCATGATCTCAAGGTCCTGGGATTGAGCCCCACATCAGGCTCTCTGCCCCGCAGGGAGCCTATTTCCCCCTCTCTCTCTGCCTGCCTCTCTGCCTACTTGTGATCTCTGTCAAATAAATAAAATCTTAAAAAAAAAAAAAAAGAGGATTCTTGATTCATAATGGTTAGTACAGTTGACCTCCAAAAACTTCCATGGTTTTTTCGACAGCCATAAGCATAAAGAACAGAGGGTTAACACTTGTCATGTTCTCTCATAAACTATCAAAACATTCCGTAACATTCAAAATTTTGATACATTTCTAAGATTGCTTTTTCCCGTAAAACTTGAGGCTATCTGGCTCCCATTGTGAAAAGGCTAAGTTGATGAAGTCCTGGTTGCCCTGTGACTGTTTTTATGTACTGCATTTTCAAAAGAATGTCCTCAGATTAAAGTATGATGCAAAGTCGAATATAAATTATATGGTTTTATTTTCATGGTTCTTTGAAACTCATCAGCACCGTTTGTCTTTTGTTTTTTATGATCTAGGTGTTCTGGGAGGGAAAGTCTAGTAAGTTATAGTACTTTAAATTTATGTAATGCTTTGGGATACAGACAGCACAGGTGGACTCTCATTTTAGTGACCTGTTGAGATTTTAGAAGGATTATGCTATATCTCAATCTCAGATACAATTGGAAGCCTATTATTATGTTATAGTTGCTATGAAGAACTTAACTGACTTTGTAAAACATTTGTATAAAGGAAACTTGTGTTGGGTATTTTTTGTGTTCATGACCAACAACAAAGAGGGGTTGGTTATGCATGGCTGATTTGGAGGTGTGGAGAGGTGCCTTCTGAAGGTAAACTTACATTGTGCACATTTGATATATAAAAGGTGTACGTTTGAGTTTCTAAACCGGTGGACCTATGTAACAGTAAACATTGTCATGGGAATCCTGTGGAGGATACTTATGTAGGTCTCTGGCTCAGAGGGTTTTGTCTTGATACGTGAAAAGGAGAAAAATGCAGTTTGCGTTTGATGTGCTGTTTGCTGTAGCTTTCCAAATTTGGCAGAGTTCATTTGATCGTTTGAAGTAAAACAATCTAGCCCAAGGAAAATAAATTTCATATCCAGAAAGCTTATTAAGGCACAGCCGGGTGATGCTGGTTAATGTTTCTTTTTCCTTTTCTTGCTTCTATTTGTATCTTGGTGATTTCTTTTCCACTTGTCTCCCTTTCTTCCTTTCCTCCTTTATTTCAGCAGAAGGAAGATATTTAAAGGAAAGCTTTTTAAAAATCTACTTACTATTTGAAAATAACATCCAAGACAAAGTACCAGATTTCACTGTCTGTGAATAACCTCCATGTTATTCACAATTAAGCATATTAGATTCATATGCAGAACAAGAAATTTTTTTGTTTGAGATAGCATTTGCAAGGATGGAAAGGCTTAAAAGCAAAAAAAAAAAAAAAAAAAACCCCACAAAAACAAAAGAGGGGGACAAACAAAAATTTTTGTTTGTTTTCTGTTTCTCCCTGGAAGAAAAACCAACTAAATTGAGATGCCCCGAAACATGGTCTGACAAAGAACCGGTTGTCTCAGTCAACTTTAGACTGCCTGTCATCAGTTTCCTATAAATTACTTCGTGGATATAGATGTATATCACACCACTGCTACAGAAGGTTTTTTGTATCTTATTTTTACCCCTTTCTCTTGGCCAGCTTCTGTTTTTTCACTGAATATGATTGCCATACTGATTCTCTTTTCTTGCTTTCTTCCTCCAATGCAACGTTTCAGTTTTTCTCTGGGAATGAAATTATGATTACCTGAAAGTCATTCTCCTTTTTTCCCACAGTAGTCCATCAAGTGTTAGGATGCAGCTTTCATTAATGTTTCATTTTGTTTCTTTTTGATAAGGTCTTTATATTTGACATATTGTTATCATGGGTTTCTCTATCTTGAGAATTTCTTGGGTTTGTTCCAGCATGAACTGGTTTGGGTAAACACACACCTTTCTTTGTCAATTAGTTGCCAAAGCCATGTTTTGGTGTAAAGAACTTGGGCATTGCCGGCAAACAGACTTATTTTTATCATCCCAATTCAGAAACTTAATAGGCCTGTGAACTTGGGTAAATTACTTGCTCTAAATCCCAGTTGATTGACTTACAAAGTGAGGCTGGCCTCTAAGTAGAACTGGAATACTCTACTTTTATTACAGCTCCCATAGAGGTCCATTGTCGGCACTTGCTGGAATAAAGGGTAGAAAAATTTTTTTGTTAGAAGTTGTGTGAACCTTGAGTTCAGTTAATTTGCTGTATTCTTGCAAAAAGAAACAAGTAGCTTCCTGTTGATATGACTAACTCTTAGCTTATACCCAAGCTTAGATTCCTCTTCAAATTCCTGAGAAGAAGCAGCCATATTCATAAATAATACAATCTTCCTAAAATAGTAACTTCTGTATTGCTCTTACTGATGAAAGATCATGGAGTAAGAATTGCACTAGGCTTCAGAAGCAGTTAGTAATTCATGGTTATGTAGCATTTGGCTGGGCTCTTGATGCAGGGACGTGCTGAAGTACAAGGAAGACCAGCAAAACTCCATTATTCTACGCCTGTTTTGTTATTGTGTTACGATAATAAAACGGTCACCCTGCCCCTAACCTGACTGCTCTGCCAGCTCTGGGTAAGTGGTAGGAATAAATCAAGAGTCATCACTATCTCTACACGTAATACTTATTAATTAAAAAAAAAAAAAAGATTTTGCCTTCTAATGGGGTTATTCTGACATGCTTCATCAAATTAGCCTTGTCAGAATGTCTTTTATTTCAAGGTCACCATCATATCAAAAAAATTTTTTTTTCTGCTTACACATATCAAGACCAGGTTTTTATGGATGTAATTGCATCCTTTTCCAGTGTTAAGGCATGTTGTTCAAAAAATATGTTGAAGGGAATAGTTGAAATAATTGGAGGAATTTTACTAATTTGTGGACCTCTGAAGACTGGCTTTGCAAAAAATCCTCTGTTTGTTTTTTTCAGAAAATACTCTCTTGGCATTTGTGTTCGTCAACTCAGTTGCTATAACAAAATACCACGGACTGGGTAGCTTAAACAACAGAAATTTATTTTCTTGTGGTTCTGGAAGCTACAAGTATAAATAAGACCAGGGCACACTCAGCATTGGTTTCTGGTGAGGCCTCTCTTCCAGGCTTGATCACTGCGTCATCCCATGACCTTCCATCTGTTAGGGGAGAGAGATCCACTTCATATAAGGACACTATCCCTATTAGATTAGAGTGCTACCCCTATAACCCCTATTTAAACTTAATTACCTCATTAAAGGCCCTAGCTCCAAATGCAGTCACACTGGGCATTGGGGCTTATGAAATGAAGGGGGTGGGGGTCACAATTTATTTTTATCCATAACAGTGTTGCATTAAGCGTTGGGTATATGAACATTAATTAGACCTCATCTTAATTTTCTAGAGGCTCATTCTCTAGTCTAGAAGCCCAAGGTTTAAACAGATTACTAGAGCATAATCCAGTGAGTGTAATAGCAGATACCTTCAACTGACAGCATCATTTTAGCTGGATAATGAAGACATTGTAGCTTTTGTTGAGCAAGGAAAATAAAGGCATTCTGGGAAAAGGAAGTAACATCACACTCCAGAGCTGAGCTGTATTTAATAGTGAACACTGTAGAGTTTTAAACAAGAAAGTGACATAATCTGTTTGGTATTTTAGAAAGATAGCCCTGGTCATCTGGCCCAGACTCCAGACAGATGTATAACTTCTGATGCTTTAAGCACTTAATCCAAGCTATTCTCAGGTGGTACATTTAACTATATTTCTGAGAAGTGCTTTATTCTACCATGCTATTTTGGAGTCTTTTCTGATACTGACCTTGAATATTCCTTATGCAGCTTAAAGCATTTTTACATTGTTTTCTTTGACCTGAAAAAAAAAAAAACACAACAACTTTATTTTTATCAGTAACCACTATATAGATAGACTCTAATGCACCTTTTTGCTTTCTCTGCACTAAGCCATATGTTTTGGTATTTAAAACTTCCCCTTAATCATTTTTGAAGTGCTCTTTAAACTCTCACTTTCTCTGCATTGTGAGCATAAAATTTTACAGCATCAAAAAAAGGTTCAGTATTTTTATCCTGTAGAAAGCTCTGTGAATAGTCAAACTGGTAGCTAACTGGGATTTCTCCTCTCCTAGAAGATGAGAGAGGCTGTTAGATTTCAAAAATGCTTTCCATGCGGAAATTTTTTTCAATATCAATTTGGTAATGTGGAAAGCTCAGATGTGAATTAAAGATGAGTTCGCACAATATGGTTATAATGGCAAGCCTGATATTTGAGGTAAAACAATCGGGGAAAATGTACCTTATACAACAAGGTTAAAGGAATTAAGAGTGTCTCGCCTAGAGGAGAAAAGACTTTGAGAAAATTTTAAAACTATCAGAAAAATATATATGTAATTATATTTTTCAGATGATCATAGTAGATTCCGTTTTCATTTAGGACAGGACAAAAATGTGTTGTCAGAAGGCATTCAGCTTACCACAGGAACTGTGGGGTCTCTGGGAATTTCACGGAAAGAGGATCAGGCATCTTTTCTGGGGAGAGGTTGAATAGATGCCTTCTTAAGTGCCCTTTAGATTCTCTGCTGATGTGAGATTTTAATCTACTGTGGCTGTTACAGAGTCAGAATTCATATTCTGGGTAAGGTCTGTGCTTGATGGAAAGAAGGGTGGTTATGTTGGTCAGAGACCAGAACTATTAATAATTAGCTCTTTGCTGCAACTTTTTGTTTCTGCTTATTAGGCAGGGTCATTTATCAGTGACCAATTAGTTTAAATATTGTCTTTCTTTTACTAGGAATTACAAACAGGTTAGAATCACCAACAAACCATTGTTTTTAACACCTGCCTGTTAGAAACAAGGAGGCTGTGCCTTACTTTCAGGTGTAGAGAACATGCATTAATTTTACTCCTAAGGGATTGATAAAAACCATCCCATGCTTTCTTCTTTAAGTATATTCAGTATCTCCTTTCCATTCTTCTTTTCCATGCCATCCACTCCGGCTTAAGATTTCTGTTGCATTAAACCACACTGCTCCAAAAGTTTTCTAAATGACTCCAAAGTCTTAGAATTATTTTCTAGGGGCCTGTAGTTTTCATACAGTGTAATGGAAATGAAGCCTTTTGGAATGGTGCAACCCAGGGTAGCCTTGTGATACCCCCTTCACCAGTCTTACATAGTTCTGTACAATTAATCCTTCCAAAATGTTTTTTTTTTCACTGTGTTAGTCTGTTGTTTAAGAATCTTCATATTTCTCCTTTGCTTATTAGCTAAAATCAGAGCTTCTATTTGGAAATCTAGCTGCCTGCCTCATAGATTATTTTCACTTTATTTTGTGCCCCCCCCCCCCACTTCCTAATATGAGGACTACTCATCTTCTTCAACATTTCAGATTCTGAACTTCATTCCCAAAGACATTCCTGGTCTATAAGGAACATGGTTCACAAATACCCGCTCCCATTTTAAATATGGTGAGGCAAGGTATAGAGAAAGGATACTAGATTGTGTGGGTCAGGGGCTCGCCACACCATCCCATTTAATCCTCTTTCTCAGTGTATGACATCCTAGTGGCCATACCATTTTGTCAGAAGAAATAGCTTCAGAGAGATCAAATCATTTAGCTGAAGTTATACACCTCTTAGAGTTGGTATTTGAATGTGGGTTTACCTAATTCTAGAACTTTTTGTATTTGGTTATCATTCTGCCCTTTCTGTATTTGTTTATGTCTAGCAACAGGTCAGGTTATATTGTCTTTGGTTTTACTTAGGTTATGACAAAATGTGGCCTAGAGCAGCCCCCAAACAGAAAGCTTCCTGCTTTCTCACATAGGCTCCTGGGGACATTTCTTTCCTGTGTCTATCTCACTGCAGGGTTATAGTTGGAATAATGTTAACCCTTACAGTTCACCAAGATAAAGTAGTCATTGTGATAATAAATGATGTATGTCAGATAACTAAATCTCTGTCCTCCCAAATGTTGTTTTATCTTGTGGTAGACTATCGTTGAAGAGCAAACCATAAGGACTCACCAACAAGTGGACAAATTGTCAGATCTAAAACTAAACTGTTTTTATTCACTCTATTTCCTGGTAGAGGACTGAACACCATGAGCGTTGTTAACTATGAAGTAATCATGGTTTGTGGGGGAGAAAGAGAACTGAAAGCATCCTATCCTCTCTCAGCTAGATGAAATAATCAGGCCAAATTACTCAAGAATTCTCTGAAGTCAGTTTCTTGTTTTTCTTTATTATCTTCCATGAAGTAGAGTATGCTCAAACTCTGCCCCCTCTTGTTCTATAAAATCTGGGAGTAGGTAGAAATGGTTCCATTTTTGTGTGCGCTAATTTTATTTTTTTTAAGACTTTATTTATATATTTGACAGACAGAGATCACAAGCAGGCAGAGAGGCAGAGAGAGGCGGGGAAGCAGTCTCCCCGCTGAGCAGAGAGCCCGATGCGGGGCTCGATCCCAGGGCCCTGGGATCATGACACGAGCCAAAGGCAAAGGCTTTAACCCACCGAGCCACCCAGGCACCCCAAGTGTGTGCTAATTTTATTTATTTATTTATTTATTTAATTTTTTTTTTTTAAAGATTTTATTTATTTATTTGACAGACAGAGATCACAAGTAGGCAGAGCAACAGGCAGAGAGAGAGGGGGAAGCAGGCTCCCTGCTGAGCAGAGAGCCCGATGTGGGGCTCGATCCCAGGACCCTGGGATCATGACCTGAGCTGAAGGCAGAGGCTTAACCCACTGAGCCACCCAGGCGCCCCAGTGTGTGCTAATTTTAAAAGAGGATTCTCAACCATTCTGATGTCATGCGTTCCATTCATGTGGTAATTCTGCATCTCCTCCAGGATTAGGGCAAGTGCCTAGTGGTCTGCGGGAATCAGGGCGAAGCAAGGAGCTTGTGTGTAGCTCATTACCATTTCATGTCTTAGAATTACCAAAGTCTTAGAATTATTTTCTAGGGGCCTGTAGTTTTCATACAGTGTAATGGAAATGAAGCCTTTTGGAATGGTGCAACCCAGGGTAGCCTTGTGATACCCCCCTTCACCAGTCTTGCATAGTTCTGTACAATTAATCCTACCAAAATGTTTTTTTTTTCACTCCACATTACATTATGATGTAAGCAGTGAACCCTCAATTGTGTAGGTAAAAGGCAGTTTGAAACATGCTCTCAAGACATTATGTAGTTAGAGTGTAGAATTTGTTGCTTTTCATTGATGGGTGGGAGGTCAGATTTTTGTTTCCTGTGTCTCTTTAACTTTGGTTTCCATTTCTCTTAGTATTTTAGGAAATTGAAGAAAATGATATTTAGTTAATGTGGTACAGAGGTATTCTAATAAAGGATTTGGAACAGTAGACTGGAATTAGGACACTATGCTTGTTGCTTGTTCTGAGCCAGTGACATGACCTTGAACAAATAATTTAAAATCTGGGTCTTCAGCATTTCCTCATTTATTTTTAAAATGTTGCTCTCCTATGTAAACTTCTATGATTCAGTCATGGCTTTGCTTTCATTTTTCATTTGCATTCATTTTTCTTTTTTGCTCCTACCTATTAAAATAATGATCCTTAAACATTCATTTTAAAAGAGTATGGGCGGATATTTATCTTCCTTCCTACCTTCCGTCCGTCCTTCTTTCCTTCCTTCTTTTTCTTCTTTTCTGACATGCTTTCTGTTTAAGAACACATTGTACTAGTTTCCATTAAAACTTGAGTTTTAGTATGTTAACTATACTGTAATTAAAATTAAAAACTTAATAAAAAAAGAAAAAAAAAGCTTGAATTGTGGCTCGCTCAGTAGGTTGCTAATTATGTTTGGTTGGTATACAAAACTGAAGATACCTTTTTACCCATATGGCTCATAAGAGCAGTAATCATACTGAAAGTCTTTATTTTCATAGTAACATTAATAATTATGATTCACAAGGCAATTAATACATTTTTTTTGGTCTTCAGACCAGTTTATAATGGAATGTACTTTCATATACAGTACATACCATTTTCTTCTTTACTTTCAGGGATACATAGACTGGGGTGGGGATGATACAATGCAAATGCTTTTGTAGTTTTGCATCTCTGTAGGAATATATGCAAGTCATACCACATTGAGGCTTTATTATAAGTGGTGCAGTCTGGAAGAGTGAACACCAATGTGTATTAGTGGGCTGTGACTGTGACCTTGTGGGAGGATTCCCACCCCCCAATTCTGTGACCTCCTCTGTGCTAGAAGGAGGTTGAACCAAATTATTTTTGGTAATAATTGTAATTGCTAACATTTCTTGAGTACCTGCACATATGTGCCACCTGCTGAGATAGATTCTGCTATCACCCTGCCCCATTTAAAGATAAACTAGGAGACACCTGGGTGGCTCAGTCAGTTAAGCGTCCAACTCTTGATTTCAGCTCAGGTCATGATCTCAGTGTCATGAGATCAAGCTCCACATTGGGCTTCTCGTTCATCGTGGAGTCTGCTTGTCCCTCTCCCTCAAGTATGTGCTCCTCCACCTGCTCTCTTGTCCTCTTTCTCTAAAATAAGTAAATGAGGGGCGCCTGGGTGGCTCAGTGGGTTAAGCCTCTGCCTTCAGCTTAGATCATGATCCCAGGGTTCTGGGATCAAGCCCCGTATCGGGCTCTCTGCTCAGCAGGGAGCCTGCTTCCCCCCTCTCTCTGCCTGTCTCTCTGCCTACTTGTGATCTCTCACTCTGTCAAATAAATAAATAAATAATTTTTTTAAAAAAATGAAATAAGTAAATAAACTCTTTAAAAAAAAAGGTAAAATGTAATCAAGATGACCTGTCCATTCCCTGCCTCTGAAACTCATGATTTGACCACTTTAGTACACCACCTCCCATTTTATGCAGTTTATGATCCTGTGACTTTCTAATACAGTAGTATCTATGTTAATGTTCAGAATCTCAAGATCCTGCCCGTATCAGCTGCTTCAGTATTCCTATGTAAATCTTTTACACCTCATGCTGTATCCCTGTGTATACTTCTGACACTTACCACTGTTTCTAAATAACTTTAAAGTACTCTGTACTTACATTCACAACACTCTAGAAAGAAGGTCGGGCAAGTGAGTATAATACAAATGAGAAGGGAGATTCGTCAGGTGGTGTTGAGGTGGTAAGCTGGCAGAACCAAACCTAGAACCCACTTCTTGGCTGTTCCTGCTTCAGAAGACTGTGCACTGACAATGATAGCTGTGAAAGGTTTGGGGAGACAAAAAAGAATAAAATCAGTTAAAGGCTCTATCAGATTACTACTGAGAAAATATTAGTAATTGTAGAGATTATATTATATAATATTCCCTCCTGTGCCTGTGCTTTTCCATCTGTTACCATGAATAGATTGTCCCAGCTTTTATCCAAGGCATGCCTCTTTACTTGGATGCTGGGTCCCATCCCTTCCTTTCTACTCGGGAGCTTTACTCTTGAATTTCCCTATGTCTCTTTTGTAACACCAACTTCTACCTTTTTGCCAGATCTTCTTCTTCTTCTTCTTCTTCTTCTTTTTTTTTTTTTTTAAGAGAGCATGAGTGGGGTGGGAGAGGGGCAGAGGGAGAAAGAATCCTAAGTAGGCTCTATGCCCAGTGTGGAGCCCAATGCAGGGCTCAGTCTCACCACCATAAGACCGTAACTTGATCCAAAATCAAGAGTTAGGTGGCTTAACTGACTGGGCTACCCAGGTTGCCCTACCAGATTATTCTTAGAAGCGGGCAGTCATATTATATCTCTCATCAGAAGCAGGGGAAAAACCCTTCCGAGATTCTGTATTCTCCCTTAGTTTTGTCACATTTATCAATTTCCCTTGATAGTAAAACTCCACAGAATTTTCTGTGCTTCTTTAACCACTTCCTCATCCCTCATCTCTTCAGGCTGGTTGCTTGGGATGTTATACATCCACTTCACCCAAATGTTTCATTTCCTCTCCCCAGCAACTTCCCTGTTGTCAAGCGGCCAGTTTCCAGTCCTCATTTTACTGGACCTCCCATCACCTGACCCAGTTGTTCATTCTTTCCTTCTTGAAACTTTTCTTTACTGAATTTTCAGAGTACCCAGGTCTGAAAATCTCCCTGGGAACCTCTCCATCTCTTTTGCTAACTTCTCTTCTACTTCTGCACTTCTAGTTGTTAGAAAGCTTCTGGACTCAGTCTTTGGACCTCTGCTCTGGCTTTACTCATCCCCAGATGATGTCCTCCCTCCTCAGCACACAGATAGCATCCTGTCATCCTGTGCTGATGATCGTAAATCTGTGTGCTTACCTCCAGCTCTCTCCTGAGTTACTGGGTCATACAATTAACTGCCTACTTAATTTTGCTTGGGCGGCTTTTCGGCATTTCAGATACATCATGGCTAAAACAAATTGTCCTTTTCAGGCTGAGTATCGTATTGTACTGGACTCACGCTTCTGTGTTGATATAAGATGATAAAATGCGTACATGATAAGATGACATGAGGTGAATGATGTAGGCACTGAGGTAGCGCTATGACTGACCTGACAACTCATTAGGAGGAGGATCATCTGCTTCTGGGACCACAGGTCACTCTAGAATACAGAACCACAGATGAGGGAGGAATGGTTGTAGGTAACTGTTGGAAAATAATCTATAACATGGAAACATTAGAAATGGAGTAACTGACTAGTTACTTACATGTGTTTTAGTTTTGGAAATGCACTTTAGCAAAGTTTTATATTCACAGAGAAGTGGAAGGTTAATTTCTTTTTTTGCCATTTTAAGCCTCTGCATGGAAACACTACCATATTATACATAGGCCTTATAGGTATCATGTAGTATATTGCTTTAACCAATACAAAAGTCAAGGCTATTAATCACCAAAGAACTAATTGATCTTTAGCATTTAAGTACTTATTTCCAAAAGGAAAAAGGTCAAACCAATTCTTAAAATCTTAGAGGTATTTTTTCCTCATATTTGTTTATATGTAGTGATTTAGTTGTTGGGCAAGGGTTGTTCTAATTTTTGTTTTGTTTTAGATTTATCATTGATTTTTCTCACCTAAGAAGAGCTCTTGGTAGTATAGTAAGTTTGTTAGTCTCAAAGTAGATAACTAGTGAAATCTCTCGATACACAGAATAAACTCATACTGAAATAACCTGAAAATCATAGTCTGCTAAAGACACTGTTTAGAAATAAATTAAAGATCCATCCCCCTGTTACTAAATTACTTTTTTTTTAAACTGTTTCAATCATTGGGAATGGATATTGCTTTGTTTGAGGTAGTGGTTTTTTTTTTTTTAACAATTTTTATTTTATTTGACAGAGAGAAATATCACAAGTAGGCAGAGAGGCAGGCAGAGAGAGGGGGAAGCAGGCTCCCTGCTGAGCAGAGAGCCCAATGCAGGGCTCGATCCCAGGACCCTGAGATCATGACCTGAGCCGAAGGCAAAGGCTTTAACCCACTGAGCCACCCAGGCGCCCCTGAGGTAGTGTTTTTAATGCTTATAAGCCTTATTTTTAAGATTAGATGACTCATGGATTTTAATAGCCCTGTCAGTCACTTCATAAACAAGTCTTTTCAGCAGAGGAATAATGATTAGAATGAAAATAAAGATACCAAACCGTTTATATTATAAGCACTGAACTGTAAAAATCATCTGTCTGTATGGAATGTCAAATTAGATTCAAATACAGGAAGACAATACTATCAAACTCTAATTTGATTTTATTGATAACATATCTGCAGACATCATGCATGGCTTCAAATTATCTTAAAATACTTCCATATTCAATATGCAATGCCTATAAAATATATAGGGCACCACTCTCTTAGCATTGTAGTTATGTTGGCCCAAGGGCCATTAAACTCTTTATTATTATTATTATTATACAAAAACCCAGTGATGATCTTAGTAGGTAAAAGATACTGCCTTCTGGTTTTAAAGTTCATATACCATTTTGCTTCCTATAGTCAAAGGTAGTTGCTACCATTACTGTGCCTTGACTATTTCTGTGTATCTTCTGTATGAGTGCACAGAAAGAGTCCTTTCTGAGGACACAGAAATTCCTGGAAGACTACAGCTGTCATGTTGACTAGGGTTTATGCTGTGAAATTGGTTTACTTTTGTAATTGGGTAAAGCTCACATAAACCAAAGCATTTTACCAGAGAAATTGGACATGTTGTACTGGTTGTAGACAAGAAATGGGACACAGATGTTAATATATCTGAGAAGATTTATCAAAGTCCACCTCCCATTTAAAAATTATTTTGAAGTTGACTTGGTAGCTTCTCTTGGTGTACCTCTCTGTGGTTGAAATCCAGTTTTCTGCAAGACCAAAGTACTGTGGTTGTAATAAGAACACAAAACTTGCAGTTAGAAGACCTGATTCCAGTCCAGAGCCTGCTCTTCACCAGTATCGTGGCCTTAGGACCTCTGACTCTTATTTGCCTTGCCTATAAAATAGAAATAAAGGCCCCCAAAGCAGAATAGTGTAAGAAGAGTCAACATAGGAAACATGCTGTTGTACTGATTGTACAGTCATTGGAATTCTTAGAAATACAATTTTTTCTTAATAATCGAGCCTCTTGCTGTGTTTCCAGGTTATCTTCCTCAGCTTTTATGATGATTACATAATATGTAGATGTCAAAATGATGGGAGATCAAGCTAAATCTGTATGACCCCATAACGCAAATTGCTTCTTTCACCAAAGAGTTCACTGAACCCAATTTTTACGTAATTGAAGAGTCTAGTTAGTTGTGTCGAATCATGGAAGTTTTAGGTTAATTATGACCTTGAAGTACTTTTAGCTTATAAAACTTAAAACCAGAACACAGCTGACCATAGAAAAGATGCTAAATTCTGTAACCACACTAGAATAGCTTGAATTATAGCCTGATACAAAGACACTTTGAAGTTTATTTATAGTAATAGGAATCAACTGTGTGTTCTTAGTGTTTGTTATTTTATTTTATTATTTACTGTTGCTATGAAACACGTAAACCAGATTTAAAGAACAAACTCATAATTTCAGCAGAACCAAAACTAAGAAAGAAAAACATGAGAAGGAGGGAATGTCTTAGGGTTTGGCTTGAATAGCCACATCATTGATATAAGTGGTTGTTCTGACGACACATTGAAACATTGTAAAATAAAGTCCAATCTGTAACATTACTGAGTCTTTAATAAATAGACATTTTCAAAATAAATAGGTTAAGGAGTAGCAATTATGTTTCTTTGTAATAGAGATTTCAAAACAGTAGATTCTAATTACTGAATCTCCTCTGAAAGAGAAAAATACGTGAAACTTGGCATGGGATCAGATTACAGAACAGACCAGTGGATGTTCGCTCTGTGAAGGCGTAAACATAGGACTGCCTTAGACGAAGTCCCTCCTTGAGAATTTCTCTGTTCTGAATATTTGGTAAATTTGCTATGTCTTCTGCAAGGGCAAATACAATGTGATAGAACTATCTGTAGGTAATCATCTGTAATCTGTAAGAATGAGAAAAGAATAAAGACTTACTATGGTAGCCCCCCTCCCCATTCTGCGCTTAGAAGAGAACACCCCTGTGAACAAGCCATCAGTTCGGAAAGAATTGATCCCAAACTGCAGCCTAGACAGACTTTGCCTTCTGCGTCCTGGTAGCCTGTTGGGGGTGACAGCTGGAGCCTGTGTAGGATCCACAGACAATATGTTGCAAGTGCCCTCCCCTGTTCCAGAGCTGGGTCTTCGTTCTTGGTATCTCTCATTGTCCCCGTGGCTCCGGTGGTGCCGGACATACCCTCACCAATTCCCACTTTTTTTTTTTTTTTAATTAAAAATTTTTTTTTACTGGCTTTACTGCTAGAAATGTTTTAAATGCCACTTTTTTTTTTTTTTAATGCCACTACCCTGTCTAAGAACCTGTATAAACCTCGTTTATGAAACTATTCTTCACCATCCTGGGTCCTCCATAACCTGATCTCCGCCTACATTCCCACCACAGGTTGGTTTACTTATGTAATTACACTGAATTCCATTCCACAAAGGGTGGAGGGATCCCAGGAGAACACTTACAGTGAAATGATGGGTAGATATGTTTAGAAGTGATGGCAGAACTATGGAAATACAGAAGGAAAGAGCGGAAGGTTGAGACTGGGGGGAAAAACTCAGATGTACCGGCCACATCTGCTGTAACAGAGGTTAAAGTTGAGTTCTGCACTGCTGTATGTCACTGCTCTGTCCCCTCCAGTGTGCATATGCTCTGGTATCAGCTTCTCTTACTATACTATGTTTGCTAGCACTTGTGCACACATGTGTGTATGTGTGTTTGCTCACCATCTTTCCATATACTGTGCATTATTCAGAGCTCATCTCAAGTCCATTTCCCACCTTCCCTGAGGTCTTCCATTTCAGTTCAAGCCTTTTCGGTACTTGCAGTTTGACTCCTATAGCAATGACACTCACTGCAGTAGTGGGAGCTTTTCATTACTCATCTTTTATGTGGTCAAAATTATATTTTAGGCTAAGGGTGCCTGGGTGGCTCAGTTGGGCATCTGCCTTCAGCTCAGGTCGTGATCTCGGGGTCCTGGGATCAAGTCCTGAGTCAGACTCTCTGCTTATCAGGGAGTCTGCTTCTCCCTCTCCCTCTGTGCTCTCTCTTGCTCTCTCTCTCAAGAAAATAAATAAAATCTTCGGAAAAAATTATGTTTTAAGCTATATTTAAGTATTCTGAGAGATTTTTATATATCTAAACTTGTGTATCAGTGACTTCCTTCATTTACATTATCACTCAGCAATGCCTATGCAACCACCATTTTTAAAGAATTTACTTTAACTAAAAAGATTCAACTCAATAATTGTCTTATACGTCATACTGCTAACTTGAAAATACATGTAGTTGCTATTAGAGTTAGCAAAAATGTGCACTGTAAAAAGGGTCTCTAAATTCATAGTAATTATCATCTCTGTGACTTATTTTATAAAACTCTAAGTTTGTACCTCTTCCCTTTATCTGCTTCACATATCCCCCCACCCCCCTATTCTCTGCGAACCACTTATTTGTTTTGTTTTAATAAGAGTCGTGTTTTTAGTTTGTGTTTTAGATACCGCATACGAGGCAAATTATATGGTATTTGTCTTTCTCTGAATGACTTATTTCACTTAACATAATATCTTCAAGATCCATCCATGTTGTCTCAAATGGCAAGACCATATTCTTTTTTATGCTCAAGTAATACTCTTGTATATTTATACGTATAGCACATATATAAAGAAGATAGATATCAATTCATAGTAAGTTTTGTTACTATATGTGGTCTCAAAGATGACAAAAGCACAGTGACTATCATTTGGGGATAAATGAGAATGGAGGGATCTACCCAATTCTTTTTTTTCTTTTAATTAATTGAAAAAAATTTTTTAGTTCAAAACCAGATTTTCAAAAAATTCCAATTCAATTAGCCAACATAAAGTAGTATATCCTTAGGTCTTGATGTAGTGTTCAGTGATTGATTAGTTGCATATAACACCCAGTGCTCATCACATCACATGCTCTCCTTAATGTCCATCGCCCGGTTACCCCCTCCCCCTCCCCCTCCTCCCT